AATTAAAAATAGTTCCTCTTCTAATTACACTTAGTAAATCCTGCAGTAATGCATAAGTGAGTGCTTCTTACATCCTTCACCACAATGCAACTAACTTTTTTGGCAACATTTTTGCTCTAAAAAGCCCTCTTATTACTCAACTTTTTAAATGTCACTTTGCTTTTTTTCTTTAAAAGTACTAGGCGACGAGCACAACTAAGCTCTTGCTGTGTAATGTTTATTTTCATTCTACCCTTTATTATAATCAGAAGCCTTTCACATTGCTGATGGGGATGTAAGATGGGATAGTCAAGGTGGAAAACAGTTTCTAACCTTCTAAAGTCCGGTTCTGTCCCTGCCTTAAGGAAGAGTTATAACAAAGGCTCAAAGAAACCAAATAAACTAGCCCAGATTTGTACCCAGCAGACTTATCTTGACTCCAAACCCCCTGTTTTCCACTCCCAGCCCATACTTCCTCCCATGTCCCTAACCGTTAGGAAATTGGTTAGCCCATAACTGCTCCAAGTACAGTGACAGGAACAAGGGCCGGAGGGAAACACCCTGAAAAGCAGAAAACATCAGCATGGGATTCAAATGATAACTTTTAAACTGCCGGCCTCTTTGGGGAAAGAACTGCAAGATTATACAGGAATGGACATAATAGAACACTGAAAAATAAATGTGCCCTCCACAGGGGCACATATGGATGGTGACACTTGGTCTTTAAAGGTCCATTTATGAGGCTCATTGTAAGTCCGTCAGAGAACCTGGCAGGGCGGGGGAGTGATGCTGGCGTCCTTCTGCCCACCACTCCCAAAGGCTAAGTGCCCCCACTCTCTTCTCCCAGGGCTGACTGCACTTTTACAAGAACTATTCCCACTGGCTGGAGATTGTATCCAAGAAAACACTGTAGAACTTCCTCCTTTCCAGGGCAGCAAGAATCTCTGTCAGGGGAGTTTTGGAAACATCTTAAAATACTGTGTTCAGTCACCAAGTTCGAACTGGAGGTGAAGGTCACTGCCTTCCGCCACCACACCAACCCCTCCTCCCCAGCCTGGGATCTGCTCAAAGCTGGTGCCTGAGGCTGGCAATAGAAGCCACCTAAGAGGCTGATGCCCCGCTCCTCGGCCCTCGAAGGAAGGAGCCACAAGAATAGGCTTCAATTCCCACCCACTCCCCCCAGCTTCCCGGGGGTCAGCTTGCAGGTTCACAGAAAGCAAAGGACACAGAGGGTATGCTATCTGTCCGTGTGGTCAGCTCAGGCTCAGCCTGAAAGCTGGGCCTTCACACCCACCTAACTTGGAGAAGAACGTGGACTCATCCCTTCATCCATCCTACAAACGTTAACTGACCCTATGCTATGTGCTGGGCACCACCAGGGGTGAAATGCCTGCCCTCACAGGACAGACAGTTTCATAGGGGAAACCATGAACACAACATGTAAGTGGGACGGATATCAGAAAGTCAAGGACTTCCCTGGTGGTCCAGTGGTTAAGACTCTGAGCTTTCAAAGCAGGGAGCACAAGTTCGATCCCTGGTTGGGGAATCAAGATCTCACATGCCACATGGTGTGACCAAAAAATAATAAAAACTATTTTAAGAAAGAAAAAGTGTCGGGCCTGGTGCACTGGGAAGACCCAGAGGGATCAGGTGGAGAGGGAGGTGGGAGGGGGGACAGGGATGGGGAATACATGTAAATCCATGGCTAATTCATTTCAATGTATGACAAAAACCACTGCAATGATGTAAAGTAATTAGCCTCCAACTAATAAAAATAAATGGAAAAAAAATTTTTTTAAAAATTGAAATAAAGACACTTCAAACAAATGAAAAAAAAAGAAAGAAAAAGTGAGAAAGGGCTACGGAGAAAATAAAACGAGATGTGCATAGGGAATGTATTTGTGTAAGTCAGAGGATGAATTACAATCCTCAATGAAACAAAACCTCCTCTTTCTGACGGTGGGCAAGCTTTCAACATGTCAGATTACTTTAAAACGCCAACGGGAACCTCACATTTAAGACTCTGCTACCTAATCTCACCGATGCAATGGACATGAACTTGGGGAAACTTTGAGAGATGGTGAGGGACAGAGAGGCCTGGCAAGCTGCAGTCCATGGGATTGAAAAAAGTTATACATAACTGGGCAATTGAACAACAACCACCTAATCTCAAATTCTGCATCATGCTTCCTTTTACGGCTCCTCCACCTTTTCTTTCCAAGCCTTTTAACCACCTGCTACTTGCTTCTCTCCAAAGAAGAGCCTAAAAACCAGTCAGAAGGTGCACCCATTATTTTCTTCGATCAGCTCAGCCTAAGCTTTAACTCTTACTCTTTGAAATAAACTGCTAAAAAAAGTTGCTATATGAGAAGTCTGCGGTTCTGAAATCCATACCAACATGGAGCTGCTCCAGTGTCACATCAGTTTTGATTTCACAACATTCATAAGGCCCCAGTTAGACCAGATCACCGGTGGATGGGGCAACGGAGTTGCCTAATCGGCACAACCATTGGCTCCCGGCTGAATGCCCGAAGAGGGGGTGTCCACTGCTGAGGGGATGCCACCCTTTCACAATCAGAAGGAGGTTCTGTGTGCTCAGTTGTATCCGACTCTTTGCAACCCTGTGGGCTGTAGCCCGCCAGGTTCCTCTGTCCACGGGATCCTCCAGTCAAGAATGCTGGAGTGGGTTGCCATTTCCTCCTCCAGGGGATTTTCCCGACCCAAGGATCGAACCCCACGTCTCCTGCATTGGCAGGCGGATTATTTACCACTGAGCCAGCTGGGAAGCCCCTGAAAAAGGCTCTGTGTCTCCAAAAAATAAAGCAAAATGTCAGGGGTCTTTTTCTGGGGATTTTTCTTCCCTTTTTTTCAGCTGATTTACTTCCTTTAAGAATAAGAAAACTGGGGACTTCCCTGGTGCTCGAGCTGCTGAGACTCTGCGCTCCCAATGCAGGAGACCCAGATTCAATCCCTGCTCGGGGAACTAGTTCCCACATGCCACAACTAAAGATCCTGCAGGCCACCACTAAGACCAGGCACAGCCAAATAAATAAAAATACTTTAAAAGTAAGAAAATTGTGCATATTCACAGCAAGCCAAAACCACAGTCAAGCCCAAGTAAGACCAAAGGCACAGGCACTCTGATGTTGGAATGCAGTGGAAGAAGGAGCATCATTTTGAGTTCATCTAAGACAGACGGGGAATCCCACAGACAGACGAGCCTGGCAGGGGTCCATGGAGTCACACAGAGTCGGACACGACTGAGCAACTGGGCAGCAAGACCGACTGGACCACAAAGGAGGCTCTCCAGAAGGGAAGCGGTCCTGAACCTGTCTTAGGCACAGGACCATAAGCTTTGCCCTCTGGGTCTGGACCGTCTCCCCTGCCTGATGGTGAATAACCTGAAGTCTTTCCCAGCACAGCCACGTGTGGGAGGAGCATCCCACAGACAGCCTGCACCGAGCCAAGTTAACAAACGCCTGCTGAACCAATATTCCTCACGCTTCCTGTTTCAGGCTCTGTCCTCACCCTCTACTAAAGGGGCCCTTTGGAGGCCAGGTTCTGTGCTGAACACACCAAAGATTAAAGCTCCGCTGCGCTCAAAGGTCGAGGAGGGGACAGACCCCTCCTCCAGACTTTACTCCTCTGTCAGCATCCCACCCCGCCGGGATGCCACTCACCTCCATTCCCCAGGAGCCCAGGCACTAAGAGCCAGTGTGCTGCTCACGGGCCCACCAATGACCCCTTTGACCTCTGATCTCCCATGCTAATTCCTTTACTCAGAGCCTCAAACAGTTCCCAGAGCAGGCCCACCTGCCGTCCACCTGTTCCCACTGACCACCACCCCACTGCCCCTTCCAACCAGAAATCCCACCAACTCCTATTGACACCCTGAGGCTCAGTGAAGTCTGCCGTTACCAAGGAACCTGGCTGCCAGCTTCCAGGCCTCCTCAGTCTAAAGCATGGGCAGGGTAAAGCAAGCCCTGGCACTTGGCTCTGCCCTTTCAGGATGTACTAATCGCATTTCCCCCATCGGGCCTGGAGGGCCTCCTCAGAATAAGCAGACAGTGGAGTTACCAACATGGAGCCCAGGGACCCAGGCTGGGCCCCTTGACTGCTCCCCCCGGCCTTGGTCTCCTCCTGGGTATAAGGAGGGACAAGATGGAAAGCTCTAAAGTTCCTTTTACTTCGATTCCAAAATCTGAAATTCCATATGGGTTCCCTAGACACACTGAGATAGGTTCCTATTATTCCTCCACTGACCTTTCAAACAGGTGTCCCCGCTGATGCAAACTGTCCAAATGCTTGATTTTCAAAGAGTTTTGGACATTGAGTTTGGGGGGGGGGGGGGTAATAAATTTTACAAGCCTGAGTTTGTTGTTGTTGTTTTTTTCCCTCCTTTCATTCCTAGAAAGAAAGTGAAAGGGTGGCGATGGGGAGCTGACCCGCTCGGTTTTGCCGCTAGGATCACGAGCTCGGGATTCGCTCCACCTGGGTTTCTCCTCCCGGCTTGTAGACGGTGCGCGGCCCGCCCCGCCCGACCCGTTCATCCCCCCGACAGTCTCAGATTGCCAGGGCCTCCCGAGCCTCGTCTCGCCGCGGGTTGGTCAAGTGTCCCTACCGCGGCGCCACTTGGAGCCTCGGGCTCAACCAGATGGCCGGGCGGCCCCGCTGTCACCTGGCCCCACTCCGCCCGGCGCGGCCCCCGCTCCAGCACAGGTCTCTCCTCGGCTTCCCGAATCAAGCCTGGCCTCCAGGCGGCCCGCGGGCCCGGCGGCAACGGCACCTGCCCCGCCCGGGGAAATGCACGAGCCCGAGAGTCCCTCCGGCCGCCACCTCGACGGGAGCGCACAGGAGAAACGCAGGAGAAAGGAAAACACGCCTGAGGCAGGGCCGACCCAACCCGGCGTCTCCCCAGAAACCGCCACCTGCGCCGCACGCAGCCCGGGACTGGGGCCGCGGGGCCCGGCGGGGAGCGAGGTCCGGGCCCGGCCAGCCGCCCGCCGCGGCGCGCCCCTTACCCGTGAGTCGGCCGCCCCCTTCGCCGTGCCCGCGGCGCCGCTGCAGGATGAAGTAGCAGCTGCTCTTCTGAGTCACCCAGAGCTTCAGAGCGTTCTTCAGCAGCACCTCCTCGGGCTTGAGCCACATCGCAGCGGTCCGGCCGCGCCCGCGGGCTCCGGCTCACATCGCCCCGGCCGCCGGGCCGAGCCCGCTCGGGAGAAGACGGCGGAGAGCGCAGCCTGCGGGGGCCCTGCGCTCCGAAGTCCAGGGAGCGCGATGGGGACGTCCTGATTTCCGAGTCCTGGCGGCTCCAGGCAGTTCCGGAGTGGAGGGAGGAAGTCCGATCCCGGCTGCTCCCCGCCTCTTCTCCAGCGCTCGCGGGGGCGCCGGGGCCCCTCTCCTCTCCTCCGCCCCTGCGGAGAGGCAGTCCGGAGAGCAGCAGCAGCAGCACGGAGAGGAGGAGGAGGAGATGGGGGACAAGGCATCTTGTCACAGCTGCAGGTTGCCGACCTAGGGCCTTTATATTTTGGGGGACAGCATGCACGCCATGAAACGCAGTATGGCATTTAAAATAATAAGCGGGGCTTTCTTGGTGTCTCAGTGGTAAAGAATTCACTTGCCGTTGCAGGAGACAGGGGTTTAATCCCTAGGCTGGGAAGATCCCACGTGCCTTGGAACAGCTAAGCCCTGCACCACTACTGAGCCCATGTGCCTCAGCTACTGAGGCCAGCAGGCCCTAGAGCCCATGCTCTGCAACAAGAGAAGCCTCCACAAGGAAAAGCCACACAGCGCAGCTAAAGAGTAGCCCGGCTCTCCCCAAATAGAGAAAAACCAGAGCAGCAAGGAGACCCAGCACAGCCAAAGCTAAGTAAATAGAATTTATTTTAAAATAACAAGAAACAGGGACTTCCCTGGTGGTCCACTGGCTAGGACTCCAAGCTCCCAATGCAAGGGGCTAGGCTTCGATCCCTGGTTGGGGAATTAGAAGCCACATGCTGCAACTAAGAACCTTGGAAGCCAAATATATAAAAAATAAAGAAAATAAGAAACATTTTTACAAGTAACCAAAAAAATAGCATTAAAAAACTAAAACTTTTCTTCTGCTTTTTAAAAATGCTGAGTGTACACTCTCAATGCTCTCAGGAGCTATCCCACAGAGCTGCTGAAGAGGCGTGATGCTGTAAGAATGTGAAGGCAGTGTCAGACCAAACTCAACACTGCACAACCCTCGTGGGCACAGGCGATGCCCGCGTGAGGACTTCCGTGCAGCGCCCCTACCCAGGACCGAAACCAGGCACGTAGGTTCTCAGAGAATTGAACAGCTGGGAAGTATGGAGCAGGTGACAGTAAAGAAAAGTTGTAGGGAAAGTGGAGGTTGGGCTTTAAAAATGAGTATTTCCTCAAAGCCTGGTGGGAATAGACATGTGGTAGCAGTCGGGAAAGTCCCCTGGAAGTGGGAATGGCTATCCACTCCAATATTCTTGCCTGGAGAATCCCATGGGCAGAAGAGCCTGGCGGGCTACAGTCTATGGGGTGGCAAAGAGTCGGCAGGACTGAGTGATTAACACTTTCACTTTTCAGCTGGCCTTGAACAGTTCGGGGTGGGGGAGGCAGGGCTCAGAGCAGTCTCCTGGAGGAGGGAGTTAAATCCAACATCCTAGAAAGAGAGGAAAAGAAACTCTGTCAACATGACCCGTAGGTTTTGACAAAGGGACTCCTGACAAAATGTGACTGTTGATTAGGACGAAACTGAAAAGCAGAAGGAAAGCCCCCACCAGACTCCTGGGGGCTGAGTGGAGCTCCTTCCCTGGAGCCCGAGAATGTGTTCACAGAAGATCAAAGAGATCAGCTCAAACCGAACCTGACCCCGCAGGTGAGATGCCAGGTGCGAGGTCGTGCCCAGGACAAACGACCGCCCACCCAGGGGGCAGCCCTGCTGTCCAGAACCACACGCCATGGACAGATATCCTCTCAGCTCAAGAGGAAGGAAGTCAGCCGTTCTGCAGGGGGACTTGGGGACCCCAGAGCATATAAAATGGGCAAGCACAACTGAAAATATTCCTTCCAGAAGCAGTCGTTGACACTCCCGCAATTGGGTTTCCTTGGTGGCTCAGCAGTAAGAATCTGCTTGCAGTGCGGGAGAGCCAGGTTCAATCCCTAAGTCCAGAAGATCCCCCCAAAAAGGGAACGGCTACCCACTCCAGTATTCTTGCCTGGAGAAACCCATGGACAGAAGAGCCTGGAGGGCTCCACAGTCCCTGGGGTCGCAAAGAATCAGACACAACTGACAGACTGACACACAATCAGACGCAGGGCCAGGCCATGGAATTGCAGGGTGAGTGGGACAGGGCCCCTGCCCTGAAGGTAGGAAAGAGGCACAGGTGTTATGGGAGTCATGCTGGGGACAGTGGGGGGGCACAGAATGGAGGGGTGGCTCCTCAGGGAGAGGATGAGAAAGCCCCACACAGCAGCTGCAGTTTGACCAGGGCTAGGGAAATGAGTATGTTTGGCAGAAGTCAGGAGGGCAGGTCTGGTGAGCAGATCAGCAGGTGTGCTTGTGTGGCTTAGGGCACACTTCCAGGGACAGACTGCTCTAGAGACAGATCAAACCCCAATCTGGCTACTATTTCACCATGCAACCTTGATCTGGGCCATAACGGCAATCTCAGGAAGCCTCAGTCTACTCAACTATGAAGTCGGGATAATCATAGCACCTCCCTTATAGGTTCTATCCGGGGTATAACAGATTCAAGTACTTAGAACACACATAAGCACTCAGTAAATGTCAGCTGTTAGCACTAAATAAATGTAGAGCCATTCTTGGAAGTGAAACCATCCACATACACACTCACCCATATTTTAAACTTTATTAAGCTCTTACTGGGCTTCCCTGGTGGCTCAGTAGTAAAGAATCCACCTGCCAATGCAGGAGACATGGTTTGATCCCTGGGTCAGGAAGATCCCCTGGAGAAGGAATTGGCAGCCCACTCCAGTGTTCTTGCCTGGGACATCCCATGGACAGAGGGGCCTGGTGGGCTACAATCCGTGGAGTCGCAAAGAATAACAAATGACTGAGCAACTAAACCCACCTAGCACCAGGCTCTCATTATCTGCCAAATGGTAAATATAAACTATATGATATTACATCATGGAAAGCAACATGTGAAAGCAGCCGGGAGGGGATGGGAAGGGTCCTTTGGGTACGGTGCCCTGACCTCTCTCTCCTCCCACCCCCAAGGCTCCCGCCTGCGCCTCCTATTGGTGAAGTCCAATAGAAGGGAAAAGGCGGGGGAGCCCGGGATATGCCGTCTGCAGGGATCAGGCTCCTAGGCACAGGGCGAGGTGGAGGTGGTCAGAGAGGGGATCCGGAGGGGCCAGGGGAGAATACCCAGCCCAGGTGGATATTGTGATGAATGGATAGATGTATCTCACTGTCCTCACCTCTGGGCACTTAACGGTTGGTGTTAGAAGTGTCCCCAAAATTCATAGATTGAAGCCTTGATCCCCAGTACCTTAGAATGTGACCTTATTAGGAAATAGGGTTGTTGCAGATGTGAGTAAGTTATATTGAGGTCTTTAGGGTGAGCTCTAATGCAGTATGACTGATGTCTTTACAAGATGGGATATCTGGACACAGGGAGATGTGAAGACTGGAGTCACGCTGTCACAAGTCAAAGAACGACTCGAAGCCAGGAGAGAGGCCTGAACACACCCTCCCCTCAGAAGGAACCAACCCTGGGGCTTCCCCGGTGGTTCAGTGGCTTAGACTGTGTGCTCCCAGTGCTGAGGGCTGGGGTTCCGTCCCTGGTCCGGGAACTGGGGTCCCACACGCACAGCTAAGAGTTTGCACGTGTGCACGCTTGTGCTCAGCCTCTGAGCCACCTCCCACGCTTTGCGACCCCATGGATTGTAGTCCACCAGGCTCCTCTGCCCATGGGATTATCCTGGCAAGAATCCTGGCATGGGTTGCCATTTCCTCCTCCAGAGGATCTTCCTGACTCGGGAATCAAACCCATGTCTCTTGTGTCTCCTGCATTGGCAGGCAGATTCTTTACCCCTGAGTCACCTGGGAAGCCCAGGAGTTCTCATGCAGCAAATAAATTCCTGCATGCTGCAACAAAGAATGAAGAGTCCACATGCCTCAACTGAGACCCGCTGCAGCCAAATGAATAAAAATAAATATTAAAAACAAAATTATGGTCACCAGGGGGAAGGGATGTTAGGGACTTTGGGAAGGTCATGTACACACTGCTGTATTTAAAATGGATAACCAGCAAGGACCTACTCTACAGCACACAGAACTCTGCTCAATGTTACGTGGTAGCCTGGCTGGGAGGGGAGCTTGGGGGAGAATGGATACCTATGGATGTATGGCTGAGTCCCTTGCTGTTCACCTGAAACCATCACAACATTGTTAACCGGCTATACTCCAATACAAAGTTTAAAGTTACAAAACAAATATCAACAACAACAAAAAGGAACCAATCTCACTAACACCTTGATCTCAGATTTCCAGAAGTGTGTGACAGTGTCTGTTGTTACCCCACATAGTTTATGGATGGTACGCTGTTCAGGGAGTCCTAGAAAACACATACAGTTGGCTCCCTAATCTTGCCCACGGCTGTTCAGTTGCAGGTCTCTTGACCTGGGTTCCTGCAGGGACTGTGACTGATGCCAGGAGTGGCCCCAGCACACACAGTATGGAAGTCCTCAGTATGGAATTCTGGCTGGGCTACTTGCATATCTGTGCCTACACTGGGAGCAAGAGAACTGCGATCATCTGTGGCACGCAGTGGCCTCAGGATTATTCAAATAAGCACGGTGGTAGTGTGATGGGCAGAGGAAGGACAAGGCTTGGGGGGGCTCTTGCCTCTGGTACATTGGTTGCCATGGCAACAATGATAATTACAAGGCGTGTAGAGTGAGATGGCTATTTCTGACTACCTGAAGAGTTGAATTTTTTTCTTTTAATAAGCATGAAGTTTTGAATTTCAATTTCAAGACACAGGTATAGTGAAATTCAAGGAAGCCTTAATCTGGTACAGCATTCTCCAGGCAAGAATACTGGAGTGGGTTGCCATTCCCTTCTCCATATTGCCATATAAACGTATCAGATCAATATATTTTATACCTTGAGCTTACACAGCATTTTCTGTCAATTATATCTCAATTTAAAAAACAGAAAGCGGAATGCAGAAACTCAGAAATAAATAGGAAACAGAGAACAACAGAATTAGAACATAAATTGACAAAATTATTCATAAAAGTATCAAAAA